CAATTAATTATTATGAGCTTATCTTCATCTATTTCTTTGTTTTTCTCTTTAATCATGAGTAGCTAGACCCATCAGCTAGGGTTGTGGCTAAACCCTAGTGTAGGTAATTGATGGGTCTTATGTTTTAAGGTTTGATTGTCTATGGGTGTTTGATATTTGGACTAATTTATGGTTTTATTGTTGAATTAGTGGTTGCAAATACTAGTTTATGCTTTGTTGATTTTGGCTCTTCTTGAGAAAGAGAGCCTAAGTCTCTAGAATTAGTCCAACAAGGAATTGGGGCGTACTCAAGAGAATTGATAGCCCCAATTAAAGGGTTAAACCGAGAGATCGTAATACCCGACTTGAACCTTAATTGCTTGCACAAATGTTCATACCCAATTGATCTTGAGAAAGTCAATTAGGGCAAAATCACTCGAACTACCGAGAGGTATAGAGTGGGTAAAATCGTGCAATGGTTATATCGTAATCCCCAAGTATGACAAACTAGCCTTAGACATAAGAACCCGTTAATTATCCACCTAGGTGAAGGTCACTTCCCTAGTGCCTTTTATCTCATTAGAACATCTTCAATAGCTTCCTCTTAGCATAACGTAGCTCAATTTAGCATATTGGTAGTATAAATTTAGAAGTTAATCAAAAACCCAAAAATATTTAGAAGTGCAATTAGGATCAATTACACAGCTCTAACTTAGATAGAAACTCAATTCTAATTTCTAGCTCCCTGTGGATATCGATCCCGACCTTATCGGGTAAAAGCTGCTTCGACATCTCTTGCTACTCTTTAGTAGTACAGGGTTGGCCTCGATCAGGTAACGATCAACACAATCAAGGGAAGCAGCCATGGAAGAGACTTGGCTCTTCATGGATTCACTATCAGTCACAAAGGATAGCTATTGAGGAGCAATTTTATCAACAGTGGGTTCACGTAGAGCTTCAGTTGAATCTTTATCTGTAGAAGAAGATCTTGGGGTTGCAGAAGCCCTAGGTCTAGAAGAAGATGGATTGGCAGCACTACTTTGAGATGGGGAACCACGGTTAGAAATAGAACCGAGGCTATGCAAGCTACCACCTCTTCTACTTCTAGTAGGTACATTGGAGGAAGCAAATTCATCGACAATGATGACTTTGCGAGGATCAGGGAAAGAAATGATTAACCAAAGAAACACAAGGAAAAGATACAGAAAGAAGTAAGACAAGAAGACGAAGAAGGAAAGGCTTTAGAAAATCGGAAAAAAGGGGTGAAGTATTTATAAGAAGACACGACTATTGAGGTCATTATGAAGCGTCATAATGGAACCGTCACTTCGTGACTGATGCGGTTGCAGGAAAACCCTAGAAGACGATGAAGAACAGAAGGACCAGTTGATAAAAGCCATGTGGCATGATCATTAAATGAAAAGTGATGAACGTCACATCGGTTCAGAAAAGGGTATGATTATATTCGAAAACGGGGTAGAGAATTCTTGCCATAAAGAAAAAACTTTTCACTTCCCCGAATATTCAAGAAAGTGGGGGGACTATCTGTATTGGTGGTGAAAAAGAGCTACACGTGGAATATCAGACTGCAGACATGGCATAACGCGTGGAACAATAATATAGCAACACGTGGCAGTCTTATTTAATAGAAAAAGAAAAGGCACGGGAAGAAATACCCACGAGACAGTACCGGGCCTAACAACTGGCAAGGAATGAATAAATAGCAAAAAGAAGAAAAGATACATGGACCGGAAAGAAATAAAGAAGGGGAATCTGAACAGATATAAGGCATTTATAGCAATAGATGCGTTAGTTATGAAAATCCAAAATAATGGGCAATCAATATCATTAATGTCCATAATTAGCCCAAATTATGGGAAAAAACCATTACTATTGTATATTCCTATATAAGAGCACAGAATACTATTTGTAAGGAAATATCTGAGGCAATATTGAAATATACACTTTACTTTTCTGCTTTCTCGAAATTCTCTGCTTTGACTTTGCAATCAATTATTTCCTTCGTTATTCTTATTATTTTTCTTTGATACCGTTGAGAAAGTGAAGTTAAACTTGGTTATAAGTAACCTGTTTTTTTTTTTTTCTAAAACTAGGCTTTGATCGAGGGATATATTTTTGGTTAAACAATTATGAAATGATAAATTGGAACGCAACATATTATATGGAATGGATAATCACTTTACATAGGAAAACAAGTTGGGATTTCTCATAGGTTTTGATCTATAAAGTAGAAAGTACTTCCTCATCATCAAAAATATTCGTGATTCGATTAGGATTGGTTTTTCCCTAAAAAGAAACTCAGATCAAGTAACTCGGTTTTTCAAATATTGGAACCAAACCAAACCAAACCAATTAAATCAGTATTTATCGATTCAGTTTGGAGCGACTCTTGTCGTTTTTTCGGTTATTTATCGATTTTACACTACCAAACACATTTCCGGAGGACTACATTTTCAACGTAACACTATCAAACAAATTGCTCTTTGAAAATTTTATAATTTACCAGGATATATTGATGATAATTGAATCAAATAGTGATGAATAATTTACGGACTTAACGAAAAATAGATTATTTTTTACATGAAATAGATTCTTGTAAGTACTTGGCAAAAGAAAACTACCAATCAAACTAGAACTGAAAGGCAACGAACTAGATTATTATAATAGCAAAGAACTAGACTAAAAGCACAAACGATTAACATGTAGCACAAAGTTTTAAAAACTTTGTATATATATATAAGATCGGAAGAGC